GTGCTGACATGCCATGAATGCATTTGGCTACACCCTATGCTTTGGGTGTTTATTATGAGTGGAGTGCGGGTGCCTGGATGTGAGTCATCCAGCAAATATTGCAAATAACATGTTCGGTATTTCCAGATTATAGCTCTAAGCAGAAGCATCCTTGGCATACGTACCCACTGAAATGATGAACAGGCACCCATTATAAACCTGAGGATTGAGTTGCAGAAACAGCCCTCTGGTATGCACCTTACTCCTGTACTATTCAGTATATTCCAAACTTGTTTAATTGTTTCTGTAGCATCCTGCAGGGAGCTTAAAATTGTGTATAGAAAAAGAATTTCTAGGTTTGTTCATGACTGTTTGAAGCAGCATGTTATTATATCTGAGAGAATGAAATAATCAGTGACACAGAATTAGTTTCCCTGCCTAGAACAGCATCCCCTTCAAATAGGATGCCAAGAACAGTGGAGCCTCAGAGGGTAGTTATAATAGAGAAGGAAATACTATGAGTATGCTAGACCAAATCCATGCTCTTTATGTCATTTCTGTGTTCTGTCAGGCTTCCTAAAACCTGCTGCACAAATAACTTTGGACAATAATTTTCTCATTATTCAGGTGCCCAATTCTAACTGAAAATGTATTCAGCACCTAACTAGTTTTCCATTTTTACTTGTAGTTCTTGTGCAGCTGTGTGGCTTCTGTCAATAGGAGTAACGGTGATGTTCTGCTGACAGCAACACTAAAAGTCTCCTCTACCACAATGTTGAGGATACTGCAGAAAGACCAGAATGGATTTTAATATGAATTTGAAAAGAGCGTGAATTTGACTGGCTAGCAATGTGAAAAGCTCTTTTAAACATAGCCATCAAGCTGTACCTTAAGAAATGTAGAAATGTCTTTTACAAAGAGGAGACATTAGGGCAGATGAAGTGAATGGGCAGAAAATTCAGGGACAATGAACAAGGCATCATAATAGCAAACTCCTGACATTTAACATCATCATATTCTGTCACTGCTTTTTGACTCAGGCAGTTTTCCAGCTTTCAGGGTTTCAGTGTGCATTCAAGGAATGAACACCTGGACCATTCAAAAAATTACTGTTGGACTGCAGTAGTGGTTGATCAGACACATTTGATGATTGATGGCACAGTGGTCTGTGGTGAACAGCCTTAAGGAGTCACAGACACTTTTTCCCATCACACAGTCTATTGACCTAAGAATTAAGTTTCTCAGCTTCAGTACCAATTCTTACGGACTATGAATTTCATTATACCTGCCAGCAAGGTCATTGGAAAAATCAGACACAAGACTCATTTGCAGCCATTCAACTTGGCCTGTTCAAATGTAGATAAGGTCACCTCCATTAATGAAGTTATGGGAAAATCTCATTTACAACAGCAATTAAAAGTGTTCAGAAGTTTTTATAGCCCTGAGTATGCAAGTTTGTGACAACCCAGGATCCTGCAATTTCTGTCTGTTTCTCTCCTTCATGAAATAAAAGCCAGATGTATGGAAGTTAGCATTGATGAAAGGGACTTTTTAGATAATACTGTGTCATCATTTTATTAAAAGGTCAATAAAAAAATCCCATTAAAAAGATAAGTGAAAAAAATCCTAAGTGCAATCAGCCATTCAATATTCACCCCTCAGCAAGATTCAAAAAGGACATGCATGCTTATTAAGTTTCTTTAATAACCAGTTTCTTCCCCTCCTTGGAAGAAAGTCAATATGCTAACTTTCAGAATTGAGCTGTAGGTCAAATGTTTTGTCTTTTGACTATTAAAGTCTCAGATAGGAAATATTGCTTAAGAGAGAAAATATCACTTAAGAGTTGAGCAAGATGAAATCTGTTTCAAGTGAACAGTTTGAACTGTATAAAATACTTGCATGTATTTGTATAATGTTGGCAATAGAGCTATACTTTTCATATGACTAACTTTGCTGAAGTTAGTACTGGTGAAAGGGGCTTTTACAGCTAAGAAGTCTTAGAAATTATGTGTGCTGATGGGCTATGTCTGATTCTATCTTCCTACTGTACTGTCTCTCCCATGGAGCAGTGAGGATTACAACCTGGAGAAAGTTATTGGGTTTTCCCTCATTTAGCATGGAGGTTCGAGCTTTCTGAGCCATGCTGTCTGGCATGACAGCCACAGAAGAGGAGTAGAGGCAGAAAGCTGGGGAAAAAAAAAAACTATTTCAGGTGTTTAGATGGATTTCTGCCAGCACTGGAGCCAAACGCATAAAGCTTGAGGAGCAGTGACTGCACCATGATGCACAAAAGCTGGGCAAGGAGCTTCAAAGAGGGTTGTTGGTGAGTAGGAAGGTGACAGTGGGAACATGATCAGGAAGAGGGGCTGCACCTGCAGCCAGCTTCAGGAATGCTGCAGCACAGCTACAGCCTTTGGCTTGGGACAAGCCTCCCTAAGGCAGCAGAGCAAGGCCAGCAAGGGCCAGGCACTCCCATCTTCTCCTAGAGCCCAGGTAGGGAGGCTTCATATCCCACTCAGGCTAATTTTTGAGTCCTACAATTTACCAATCAAAAAAAAAAATTACTAAACTCACTAACCGTCTATACTTTTATCTTCCCAGCAATCTTGACACAGAAGAACTCTGCGGTAAGTTTCTTTTGGAGCAAGAACATAATCTATGCCTGCAGCAGCCCTGTGCAAGTGAACATATCATGTGATATTAATTTTTTTGCTGTTTAATGTTTGTAGCTCAAACAAAAAATTATTTCCATTGAAAGAACTCCTGGGAAAATGGAGATGGCTTATAAATCTTTCAGATTGTTGTCATCCATTACACACAGAAATTACTTTGAAAATATTTTTCCTAATCAATAGTTCACATTCTCTAAGCTTGAAGATCTGTTATGATTTAAAGATAAAAAACTTATTTCCCTTTCATATGAGATATTCACTTTCAGAGGTATGAGTGCTTTAGCAATTTTGAGATTATCCTATTAGTACCCCATTAGAGGAAAATTTATTACATCCCTCCAACTTGAAGCAGTAAAAACAGCAGTTTGACAAGTTCTTACTGTCCTTCATCACAAAAGACTCCTGCAAGGCCTGGAATTTTGCTGTTATGCATTTCTGTATCCCATCCTGGGCTGTGAGTCATTTTACCAAAATTTTGTTTCTTCTCAAGCTGATCCTACAGCACCTGATTTAGGAGCACTCCTTGCAGCAGAAAGCAATACACAGAAAATTTCTGCAAGTCCTCTCACTAAATTTTTAAAAAAAACAAAACCTGAAAAACCAAACAGTTATACTTGTCAAAACCAGCCTATTTCTGAGAGAAATATGGTAGCCTGATAAGATTTCTAATGGTCAACAATACTGAAGACATATAAAAGCTGAAAATACTGTAAAATTAAATGCTAGCTCACTTACCCACAAAACAACCCTGACCAAGAACCCACTAAGAGGCACCTTAGCCTGTGGCTTATAAATATATGACAAGAGCCTCAGCTGAAGTGAATTGGGCTGTGACAACTTCTGCTGGTTAAGCATCTGTCCAAAATTGCATAAAGCTGGACAAGGAAGACAGGTGGTTTTGTTCCACAAGGGTTTACTGCTGCTGATGTTGCGCTTACAGATTTACAGGTATGTTTTTATTTACAGGCTTACAGGTTTACTCAGTGCCTGACTTGCTAGCTACCTCAGACTGGCCAGAGGGCTGAGGAGGGTGTCAGCCTGGCACTGGCTCTGTTTTCAGTCTGTTTTGGTTAAATACAGGCTTTTTCAGCTGCCTTTTAAATTTTTCATTGTTTGCCCCTACAGTGTTTTTGATCTATGACTTTAGTACTGAGTTTACACAATACATGTTTAAGCTAGCAATTAGGCAGCTCTTCCTGAGTTATTTTAGTTCTCCTCAGATATGAAGCTTTATTTCCAGGATACTAATTCACAGTACATTTTCATTGTAAATCATTTTATTCAACCTCTCAGCAATATGAAGTTATGTTGCAATGTTTCTGAAGCCTTAAGCTTTCATGACTCCCCTGAGAAGCTCATGCTGATCTCTTAAATGCCTCAAAGTATTGCTATTTATTATTTCAAATGCCTCCTATCTAACCTTGTTCTTCCTGTCTGTCATTTAGTTGTTGTTTTTCATGCTCTTCCAGGTATCTGATGTCTGAATGCCTTGTCTAACACAGTCTCTACCTTTAACATAAATTTCTTCCTTTGTTTTTCACACTTTTTCCTTTCTGTGCCTCCCTCTATTGTATTTTGCCACATCAACCACATGGGAACTTGGGTCATGATTTCCCAGGTTTGCCTCCTCCTGTTGCTATAATCTCTCTGATTTATGCCCCCTGATTTTACATCAGCTCTTTCTGTTAAAATGTCCTTTGCTTTGAGCAGCTACACGAGGTCGTCCTGCAATTTATGTTATTTCCATAATTTTTGTTAAAAGGATTCTGCTTGGATCCTATTTGCTGAAAATATAATTACAGTACCTGGGACTAGAAGCTTATCTGGCCAACTCATGGTCTCTTTGTTTCTCAGACAGAAACAAGTGGCCTCAGCTGACAACAGCCCCCACTTGATCTTACTCCTTTAAGGGCTTTACCAGAATTATTTATTTTTGTATCAATATAGTCAGATTTAGTAGATACACATGAAAACTTTGTTTCTTGCCAGAAACTGTAGACTATTTAACTGAAAATCCAATTTAGGAAGAAAATGCAGATATTTTTAAAATACCTATTTCAGCTGTCAAACTGCTATTTTAAATTTTTGTCAACTTGGCACCTCATTTATTGAAAGAAAATGTTTTGAAACACTGATTCAGTATTTTTAAGTACTACAGGAATGATTTTGAGGGGCAAAAATAAAAAAAAAAATTCAAAATAATCCTTTTAATTGTAACTCTTGTTGATTTTATATATTTAGATAGTTAATAACACCATAATGGAATTCCAACTTGATAAAATTGATATTTAATCAAATACTGATTTTTCAGGTCATTTATGGGTGACATGAGGTTTTTTCTTCTTTTAGAATATTTTTCCCAGCACTTAGGAGAGTATAAAAATGTCCTATCTGTCTTGGAAGACTTAAACATAACTGTACTGAGAGCAATGGACAAAACAAAGAAAGTAAGTAAAAAATGTGAAATTTTATTTACATTATACATTTTGTTTATTTGAGCATATTTTTAATATTTTTTTTTAAATCTAGATGAAGTTACTAATTCATATTTAAGTTTTTCCACATATACATGTTTGTAGCAAAAGTCCAGTAGGAAAAGGCTTGTCACAATGGTTGAGTATCAAAGATGTAAACTTCTTTCTGCAAAGAATTACACTTTGGATATAAGCAAAATTGTTTTGCGAATGATCTGAAGAATGTTCTTCATATCGTCATACCAAAAGAGGGTTCCATTTCCCATGCCAAATGTGCATAAGTAGTATCAGTGTATCAACATTTGAAAATAGTCTGAATTTAAGAAAATAATCCAAGTTTTTGAAGTAGAAAACTTGTTAGTATAAGATGCTAATGAATTAAACTATATTATTGACTACCATTAAATTAGGTAGGCAAGAATCATGGGAGACATACTGTGGACTCGTATTTATGTTATTAAATTGTATTAAATGTAGATTCCAGGATAGTTTAAAAATATTTAAAAGGGCTGTAATATCTCTCCCCATGTTCCCTGTAGCTGAATCCCAGTACTATCATGATTATAAAACTGTCATTTAGGTAGTGGCTGTGCATCCCAACTACTTAGTCCCAAAACATAATTGGCCAATGTAAAACACTTGAAAGTATTTCTGATAGTTAAAAACAGAAGACATAGAAATCTGGGCTGAGTGCAACCTCCTGACCAAGAACAAGATTTCATTTCCATTTCAGGCATTTTAAACAAAAGCAGTATTCAGAGTCTGCAAAGAGGAGGTGCTAGGGCTATTGCCCACCAGTGCAGCAAGGGGACATGCACGCTGGAGGGAGGAGATGTTTCTTAGGACAAGATCGGTTTCTCTGTCCATCTGTCTGACAGGGGATGTAGCCATGCTGCAGGATATGCTAGATGGCTGATCCACTTGGCACTCAATGCATTACAGTCATACCTACTCGTCTGTTCAGACCTGCTCATTCGTTCAGACATCCCAGCTAGATGTCTGATCAGAAGTGCATCAAGACATTGGGTAATTGCTTCTTTTCCCTGGCTAAATATTATGTGCCAGGTGGAACAGTTTCAAAAGGTGAGAGAAAGCACAAACCAGGGAAGGAAGTGAACCTAGATCCTCCAAACCTGTCCCCAGACCTGAACCACAAGATTATTCACTGGAAGCCATCAAGAACAGAAATTTCAGCCAAAATTATTCAGTGAGATCCCATGGGGGGAAAAATCCCTGTATTTTTGAGTCAATCAATGGAGAGATCAATGGGGAGAAAGCTGTGCTTCTCTAGAGAAGCTGTTATTTGTGACATTCACGTGTTTGCAGGAGAGCAGTACTCATACATTTTACATGAACTGCCAAAATAAAAACCTGAAAGTGCAGCTTATTTATTTAGTTTGAGACAGTAAGCTGAATATCTCTCCATTCATGCTGTGCATCTTCCACTCCTGATGAAGTGAATGTGTGCTAACTCACTGCCTCATTGAGCTGACCACTAAAAAGCAACAGATCAGTTTATTGTGGATATGCATATTTTCTAAAAAAATAGCCCTGTGTATAAACTACGGCTAAAGGGCAGAATATGTCATCTGACAACTACTGGAAGTAAATAGAAGATGGCATTTAAGAATTCTTCAGAAGTTAATTACAGGGAGGAGTCCTGGTAGTCTAATCAGAGTTTTAAGAAGTAATCATTGGCCTGACTAGAAAAATGGATAAGAAAGTCTGGAATATTAATAAGTGTTTCATTTGTCTGCTTGAGGAACCCATTTTAAAAATAACCAAACCACAGTTTGTTTGAATTTTATTTTCCTGAGTGGAAATTCAAGCTTAATGAGTTTTCTGTCTTTCAGGAATATTCCAGCTGACTATTCATTAGAGGTGGCAGAACTAGAGCAAGGCTAACACTGGAAAAAACACTTTTAATTCCAATTACTAGAAACAGTGTGTGAACACAGTCAAAGAGCAAATGTGTCTTGAAATATTCTAAAATAGAGCTTTCTGCCAAGGATATGCCCAGCAACTACAGCTTTGTATGGAAATTAAATTCCCAATTCAAAATCGGGATTATTTGCAACAGGAAATCAGTTGTCAGGAAACAGATAGGTTTCACTCATTGGAGTGCAAATATTAAAATTTCCATCTTAAATAGTCCAAGCTTTTATTGAAGTTTATGTTTTAAAATCTCGAATATATCCATCTAAAATCAGAGCTGGGGGTGAAGCAAAAGCTAGTTAGCATATGAGATAGCATGGATAAATGATGTTCCTTACCAGTGACACGCAAGATGTGATGTAGTTCCTAGCTCAAGTTCACTCCCCAGCTCAAAAAAGCAGGTGCTCAGAAATGGGTAATTTGGTTATGAATGGCTACTGGCATGTATCCAGAACAAGGCTTGGGTTTCCTCTCCTAGTGCAAACCAAAACTTTGTCACTGCTCTGCCACTGTAGCCACCTAATCTTTTGAATAGTCACTGAGTAATGGGAGCATTTATTCCTATCTTTTAAGCCACCATCTAGTTGGAAAATTCATATATGGGAAAAAAAACCAAACCAGAATTGAAGACCTACACTTTGAGAGCTATAAAGACATAGTGTATCTACAGTGGCTAGGTCAGTTCCCAGTGACAAAGACCAAATTCTCCTATTATAAACCAAAAGTTAAAAACTGTAAAGATTGAACCTGAACTCCACTCTGCAGAGCATGGGGTTGATTACGGACTTAGTTCTCAGGGTTGCTATGAGCTTTCCATCCCCTCTGACGTTTTGTGGATTGGAGAAGGCTCAGCACCTCTATCAGTCCATACTAAACTTTCCCAGAGTGCATGCCAATTCAGGTCAGCAGCTCATTCAGTCTTAAATATTTTTTGGGGAAAAGGAGCATCTTGGTACCTCATTCATTTTATTTATCCAGTTTAGATTCGGATAAACAATCAGGACTCAGTCCTTCCTATACAAAATCGCTGCTTTCCTACCAATTCAAGTTGCCTTTACTCAGTAGGTACTTTGCGTGAGAGGCAGCTGTGGAATTGGAGCCCTAGAAAAATTGTTCAGTTTCCAAGAAAACTCTGGAGAAGCTGGATGTGTAAGTCTTCAATGAAAAACTGAACAGTGGATCAGCATGTCTGAAAAATCTAAAAACTTAATCTATAAACCCTCCTTATTCCAGATAAAGATAGAACTAGAAATTAAAACCCCCTAATATATGTAGTTTAATAGACTTTTCTTTACTTTTTGGCATATGCTAGTCTAAATTTGATAACACCAAAGTGTGTGGCATTATTTGACTCACAACCAGAAATCCAGTACACAAGTGTGCACCAAGTAGATTTTTCACACTGACTTGTTTTTTTTAATTCACATTCACTTTTGAAAATCACATGCATTAATGAATAAATACCTTGAGTTTTGTTTTCAAATATTCCCAAACTGTTCAGCCTTTAGTTGGAAAGATCCCCCACCAAGAGCAACTGGAGTTTGGCTTGCCTGCAGACTTCTGGATTTGACTCAAGATCAACCAAATTGTCCCCATTACTCCACATTATTTCCATGTGTAAATATTTTGAACCCAACAGATTAGCAGATAACTGACTCCTGCAAGGTAGTTGCAGCATGATTTCTGTGTACTTCATTGCCGTCTGTGGTTTGAAAGGGTTGCCAGCACAGCTTTCTTGAACAGAGCTTTTCTCCAGTCTTCCAGTCCTGTACTATCTGAAAGTGAAAATATTGAGTTATCTGTGGGAATAAATGTTCCAGTGTGTTGGTAGGTTCAAGAAACTTTGAAACCAGCTTTCTTTTCACCATTCTGGGGCCAGATCCCTCCAGCCTAACCAAACTAAATAGCACCTGGGAAGAGAGAAAGCCCTTGGTGATGTAGGAGTGGTCCATGCTCTGTTGCTTGAAGGGAAGGTGCTAAGATAAAAGTGCAGAGATACAGATATAGCAAGGACCATCTTTCAGCAGGGAAAAGACTGAGTTGTATTTGCAATAATATACTTTTAACTTCACAAGACATCTTACCAAAGGATGCTGGGGAAGCTACAGCCCTTCTGTTTTGGTGCTGGTCTCTTGTGTTTTATCCTTACACAAGGAAGGGAAACACTTATCAGGACTTTCAGAGGGACTTGTGGCATTTGATATTTGATAACTTCTCTCCTTAGGATGGAGAGTCTGGATGAGATGCTTCTGCAGGAGTGGTGAGGACAGATCACAGTCATTGGTGTCAGTTGTTTTTCTTGTACCTGCCAGGTTGATATTTTCCTGATCAAAGTACAAGCTGGGATAGTTCTGTTTATCTCATTTCTTCTTCATCTTATAGATAGGAAGCATTAAAAATTAAAGACTTAACAACACTACAGATGTATTTGAAAGCTTGTTTCTTTAAGCCTTTTTCTGACATCTTTTATAACAAAACACATACATATATTTAATTTAAATATTTAATCTTAACATTTTTATTATCCAAATAAACATAAAATTTTCAACAAACTGCATTTTTATTACATTCTGTAGCTTGCAGTCACATATAAACACAATGAAGAGAAACAGTGCAACCTGAAGCACAGAAAATAAAACCTGTCACTGAGTAATGATGTAGATAGGCTAAAATAGACCAGGTTTTTTAGATGCTTGTAATCTTGGTTCTGTCGACCTGTGAATACTGAAAATCAGAAACTTACAGACTAGAGAACATATCTTAAGTTATCACGCCATAAAATTGTTGCTATTCAGTAAGAACAAGTTTTGCTCTATCATTTTTATTTCTGGTATTGCTATAGTTTATTGCAAATGCAACCTGCTTGTGGTGGTATTCTGTACTCAGTAAACTAGCAAAAGCTTATTTAAGCACCAAAAATGTCATTTTCATATGAAATGAAGTCAATAATATATAAGTATTCAAGGGTTTAAACAGACATCTAGTGGTATTTTAGAAAACCTAAGGTATTCAAGGATGTCCAAGATATCTGCACAGGT